TGGTTTAGATTTATTGTGGATATGCTTTTATTTTAGATAATTCTTTCAATGTCAGAAAAAAAAATTCGCAGTATTTTATGCCCAGTATTTATTCTGGGCATAGATGATGTTGTGAAAAATACACGATTGAGCCTTTCTTTGGGCATCATCATATTCTGAATCACCAGGCACCAGTACTTGTGTGGCTGGAAACTCATGCAATAAATATGGCTGATGAATCCAGAATCTGCCTTTCCTGGTACAAAAATGGAACAGGAGGTAACGTGGTGTCCTCCTAGCCTCGGAGTGTCTCCATCAGGGACATGCTGTGACCTGGTGGCATCTGGGTGCAGAGCTAATGAACATCTCTGAATTGCTGCAGCAGGGTCCAGTCACTGCATTACCAGGGCAAATCTGATTACCATAAGTGATTAGTGTCTTATCTTGCTGAAATTAGTGGATCATTATCAAATGATGACTTTTTGCACATAATGTGATTTAATTGTCCTTTCATTACAAAGAATTTTATTGCAATCCTTTTAGCAGGGGAATACAGATTAAGTTGTAGTTACCAAGAAAAAAAGGAGATCACTGTTCAGCCCCTCCTGTTCAGTGACAAAGCCACATTCTGTAGTTAATCTGTAGATTCTCTGTCTCTAGAAAGCATATGTGTCTGCTGGAGCATTTCAGAGCTTTAGAATGTTTTCCAGAGGAGAACTGGCATGGGTTATTTGCTGTGAATCTTGCAGGCAGCACTTTGGAGCTAAGATCAGCTTTGTCATGTATGGAAATTTGATCTGACCTGTGGTAGGGGTCTGACCTAAAAGTCTCTTCCCCTCTGTTGTAGATTTCATGAACTGTGCCACAAAACTCTCTATTTTGGGGGGGAAAGATGTAAAAAAAATGTAAATCTATTAAAGTCACAAGTATTTGCTTGGAATTATGGCTGAAAAATCTCCATTGTGTTGTCAGGTGTGGAAGTTTTCCCTGGAAGTGTTCAAGGCCAGGTTGGATGGGGCTTTAAGCAACCTGGCCTAGTGGAAGTTGTCACTGCCCATGGGAGAGGTGTTGGAACTCGCTGGTCTTTAAGGTACCATCCAACCCAAACCGTGATCCTTCATCACGAAAGAAAAATAATTTTCATGGAGGAAAAAATATTTCTGAAGGAGCTACACTGTCCTTATAGCTATCATCTTTGGATTTCCAGTTAATATGGTAGTGTGAGCCAGGATTTAACATTTATTTAACATTTAACAATTTAACAGGACATGAAATATAACTAAATGGTGCCCTTGTGTGCAGTCCCTTCCCCCATGAATATCAAGTGCTAATTTCACTTGGCTCTTTCAAGCCACATTCACACTGTATTTTTGGCTGCAGGAGAACAATTCTGACTGCAAAGTGTAGTTGTTTTGTGACTTGCTGTTCTGTATTGTTATTTAGGCTTATTAACAGTAATCATAATTTTGCCTAGAAGCAGTTAAACCAGCAGGAAGCAGAACAACTTTTGTCAGTCACTTGTTAACAATTTCAGTTATTAATATTCCCTGAAATGGAAGCCGGACCTTATTTCTCATGTGTGATGGTTGGTTTGTTTTTTCTTTCTTTCTGGTTCATATGTGCTTAATCCTCACAGTATTTGGAAAATTAATTGGATCACAGTGGCACAAATGCTGCTTACAGTGATCCCTGGTTGTAATGTGCAGTGAAAAGGGATGAAAGGAAATATATTGAATTGGAGGTGTGTATTTTTGGTTTGTTTTTTTTTTTTGCAAAGACTTTATAATTGAACATTTCTAGTCTTTTCTGTGATTTTGCCAGCACACCAGAAGGTCTTTAAAGATCATTGTTCTTCCCAGTCCTCTGGTGGGCACCTTAATCCCAGGTTCTGCTCCCTCTGGAAGCAGCAGGTAAAAGGTGGTGACACAAAGGTGGTTGCTGGAGCTGGTTCAGGATGGGTTTTGGGTGTGTTTTACTGCCCAGGTGAGTGTGGGGCTTCTCAGGTGGCGTGCAGGCACAGCAAGAGTCACACTGGTGCTGTTGGGCTGTGCTCAGAGGATACTGCAAGGTGAGGGGTTTAGCTGAGCTGGCTCTTAGTGACAGGTAAAAGTGGGCTGAAATGAACTTCTTTAAGGACACTTTTGTTGGGCTTGCCATTTAGATTTAAACCCACTTAACATAAGGGAATAATATCTGAGTGAATGTTTTGGATGGAGACAGAACCTGCCATCCCCAGCTCAGGCAGTCTGAGCTGCCCTCTTCAATTCAGCAAAGAGTTCCCCCAGTTTTTATTGTCCAGGATTGCTCCGTGTCTGTGGCAGAAGGACACTGCATTCCCAAACCATATGAACAGGACACAGTTTTTGGAAGGCATTCTCAGGTAGATGTCTCTTTTTACCTCGCTCTCTTCCCTCCTCTTCTCTTTCCTGTTCTTGGAACTTGGATGAACCAAACCTCAAAGTTTCCAAGGCACAGATCAGTGCAGTGCTGCTTTTTTTGGGCCAAGTGCTTGGAGAGTAAACCAAGCAGCATTAATAATATTTATCTGCAGAGGGAAACTAATAATAGCTTGTTCTCAGATTTATTTATTTTTCCTACTCACCCTAGTGAAGTGCTGTAACAGTAGCAGCAGAATCTTTTTTTCTTTTTTTTTTTTTTCTTGGTCTGTGATTTGAACTCTGTGTAACCAGACTAGAGGTTGGAAACTAATCTTGTCTTCAGAGGCTCCTTGCATCTGAAAATAATATTGTGCTCACAACTACCAGATTTTAGGACATTCAGAGCATAGTTTGACACTATTTTAAAATCTCTAAATAGCTTAAAAGCAGAGTAAATCTATTATTAGAATCTCCTCTTTGGGGCATGGCCTGACACCGGTGAAAGGGTGCTTAATAAAAATGAGAAATATTTAATTTCATGTAATCAAACAGGTCTGATTCTTTTATACTTGCATCTTATGTAATTGCTAGTTACACGAGTTGAATATTAAAATGAAATACTAAATTACATGGTCAAAGTAAAAGGCAAAGAAGAGTTAGATCTCATAAATCTTAATTGGATTTTTCTTTTTTTTTTCCTTTAGTCATCATATTAAGGTACATTGAGAACAGGTCAGCAATAATTTTTAGTACTGAGATATAAGCTAGACACGCAAGTGATAGGAAATGGTGCAAGCAGGGGATAAATTGCCCGGTATTCTAATATAATTTTATAACTGAAAACCTTTTAACAGTTTAAGTGAAATCCAGTCAAAATGCTGATGGTATGCTCTTAGACAAGCATCTCAAACTGAGGCTGATAACTGAGTTATCTTAGTAAATGCTGATTATTTAGTTCAAGTCAGACTGGGCTATAGGACATAGTCTACATTGGGCCAATCTGGGGAGCAGATTAAAGTAATACGCACTTCTTTGCCCCATCATGAGAATATAGTCCAATTCTTAGAGTGATTTGAATGGTAATAAAATTCTTTTTGACATTTATGGGATGAGGATGTGCTTTGTTCATTAGTGCAATAAAAGGTAACCTCAGCAAAATGCTTCTAGTTGTTTACAGTGGGGCATGCTGTAGCTTCTTTTTATTTATTCATATTTTCTGTTTGTTTCATAATTGAGATACAGAAGAATAACAGTGCCAGTAAGCCATGGGAGTAATCCTTGATGATGATAATATGTGAGAAAATAATATTAAAGTTAAAACCTGTATTCATAGCTCTGTGCTGTTTTACTAATCCATTAAAAACACAAACCAAGTTTTGTTAGCAGAATTTTTATGTTTATTTTCAAGCAAGTGATAATGCCTTTATAATACCAGAAGCTTTAATTGGATATCAACCCCAGGGACTAGAAAAGCTTTTCTTAGATAAAACTTGTTTTCAGAATCTCTATCTTAGGCAGTTCATCATTTGTTTACCCTTTAGTGGAAGCTCTCTCTTCTAAAGTAGCAGGAATATGTTGAGATTTGGCTGTGTCTATTCAGCATTGTGAATATGAATTTGCATTTATATTTGATACAGCCTAGAGCAGTCTTTCATGATAAATATATGTTATTATTATTTGTTTCTGTCCTCAATTTCAGAGTACAGGGGGAAAGTAGATCAAAAGTAGCTAAGTAATATCTTTAGTTGACTTTTAGACTGCTGCAAACTCTTAAGCTTCAATGGATCTCGATTTTTTTCCCCCCTAACTGACAAGGTTGATGATGTGGCAGGATAAAGACTGAAAGAAAAGCTGAAAGCAAGCGGAAAGGATAATATTTGAAATAATAACTAAGAAAAAAAAAGGAGGTAAATTTAGGAAAAATTGTTTTCCAGTCCATGGATTTAATAGATGATATATATTAATTATTTTTTATGATCTTGAAGAGTAGGGAGAAACATGAAGTAAGTTACTTCTTGCCACTTGTGCTGTTATCAAACAGTAGTAGAGCAAGAAAAGTTCCAGCTGCCCACAACTGCAGTGAGCCAAGGGGAGGCTGGCAGAGGAGGTGAGGGAAGTGAGGCACAAAGGAGCAGAAGTAGCCAAAAAAATTGGAGACCTTTTTGCTCTAAAAGGCTGATCTTTTAAGATGTTGGAATACTATGGAAGGGTGCACCACAGTGTGCTCCACTACACTTTGAAACTCTCAGTTATTGAACATCTTGTGTGCACGTTTCTACCCTACTTTTATCTTCAGAGTTCAAGAGATTATCAAAGCAGACATGTGTTATACTCTGTCATTAAGGCTCTAATTATTTAATTCCTTGTATCTTTGTTTTGTAATGTCAAATTAGTGCTGCTCTGGCTGCAGCCTGTCATTCCCCCCATGACATGCACAATTAATATTATTCTGTAAAAAATTGAAGAATTGGTGCGTTCAACTCAGCAGACTGAGGATGCAGAGGAAGAAGAATTAATTTTTGCTATGTATGATCATATCAAGAAATTGAGTTTTTCACAAGTGTCCCCTGTATTAAAAACAACAAAAAGCCCCAAAAGACAACAAAGTGTTTCTCAGTTTCTCGCTATAGTTTAATTTCTTAGTTCAAGTAGAAGGTTCACTGAGGGTACAGAAGTTTTATGGCAACTAAAAATCTATTTTGGTTGAGCTGCTGAATGAAATGTGAATTTATTGAGGAGAGTCTTGTTGTACATCCTACTTGGGCATCCCTAGCAGGGATTTTCCTCTGTTTCCACGTGCCTGTTAATTTATAATGTGTGGACTTTCAAAACCAACTGTTGCTGTGCAGCAGCTGGCAATGTGCCTTGCTCTAGTTACAAGCCTGACAAGTGTTTTTCTTCATCATTTCACCTGCCATTTTGGGTAACAGACGAGATCTACCCCAGCTCTGCTCTCCCAGTGGTGCTGGTCTTTGACCAGCTCTTCCAGAGTAAGGAGCATTTATCATGAAAATACTAGACTGCATTTCATAACCTATGCTTCTATCTCCAGACCAGATTGTTCAGATCCCCACCCAACCTGGCCTTGGACGCTTCCAGGGATGGGGCAACCATAGCTTCTCTGTGCAACCTCTGCTAGGGTCTCACCACCCTCACAGTAAAGAATTTCTTCCTTAATATCCATTTTAAACCTACTCTCAGGTTGAAGTCATTCCCCCATGTCATGTAAAAAAGTCTCTTTCCATCTGTCTTTTAGCCTCACTTCAGGTACTGGAAGGCCACCCTTAATAAATGCACCCCTAATAAAGTCATTATAAATTTCAGTACTTCTGTATTTGTATGCATACAAATTTAAATATAAATTTCAACTCAAATCTGCCACATAGGCTCTTTGGGTCACAGAATTTTGTGCTCTTGAATTAGCAACCACTTCATTTAAAAGTGAAGTACAAAGAGTTTGGCAAAAGGATCTGGTGGATACCAGTTGTTATCAAGTGTTCCAGGGGGCTGATCAAGGCTATGAGTAACAGCTATTTTTTAATTAAATCTTGGTATGTGTTCAGGTTTCAGAAGTTTTGGTGAGTGATCCTTTGTTAGCACTGAGCAGACTAATTGAATCACTTTTTTCGTACTATTCTGCATCTGCTTAAGTAGAACTGCTTAGTTAATTTTAAATTCTTGCTGTTCAGGGTAGTTGGCAAAGACTCTGCAGAAACAGAGCAAATAACATTTTCCTGTCTGTATTTTAGTCTGCCTATGAAAATAATATGAGTCAAGAATTAGTCTCAAATATAGTAAGTCAATCTATTTTTGTTTGATATCAAAATTATTTATCATACTATTATTTTATTATATCATACTATTATTTTTTACATGTTGGGAAACTGGGAAGGGCATGTCAGGTCATAGAGCTGGAAGTGTGGGCTGGGATTATGCTCCAGTCCAAAGACAACACGGCCCTATGACTTTTGGAGGAGGACCCATAGGTTTCCTTGGCAAAAATAATCCATGGATTACTGTCCTTTTCAGACCTTTGGACAGTGGGACCAGAGTGGTTGGAAGTGACGATTTGAGCACTTGTATCCCTCAGACCACAGTGAGAATTTACTGTTCTCCATCATCTGAGTGGCCTTGTTAATATTGTCAGCATTGCTTAACCAGTCCATATTCAGTGTACTGGTACTTTTGTTACTTTATTTAGCAGCTTTTTTTCCCCAACACATTGTGTTCTGGATAAAGAATTTAGTATTTTTTTTTAAATCCCTCTGTCCTGGTTTAGGGCAAATTTGGGAGAAAACCTCCAAAAAGGAGCACCCCCCCCCCCCCCCCCCCCCCCCCCACAGAAGAAAGCCAACCCACACACTCCTCCCCCCAACCGGTTCAGGAAAAATGTCCTTGGAGAGAAGTGAAAAACCTATTTATTTAGCAGGCAAAAAATGAACCCTAGGAGATGACAAAGCTCATTTGCTGCTCTGAAGAGGTGAGAAATTCAGAAAGTCTCTCCTGTGTCTGGTCACTCTGTTATCAGTCCCTCCAGCTGCTGCCCAGGGTAGGTCACAAAGTGCAAGCTCTCGCTGCTCCCCGGGTCCTGGTCTGGAGCAGGTTCAAACAGGTCCACGAAAAGGGAAAGAAAAAATAAAACAGTCCAGGGAAAACTTCTCTGCCTCAGTGGCTAAACTAACTAAAAAGCAAAAGAGCTCTCTGTTCTGCTCTGTCCATGCTCAGACAGCACAGTCCAGTGCAGAATGTGGAGGAGTGAGAGCAGCCTCTGATAACAAACTCCATGCTTCATCTCCTCCCTGCCTTCACTCTCAGAACCAGTCTTGAAGGCACAGAATATAATATCCAGCATCAACAGAGCAGACAACTGGGGATACAAGCATCAGAAAGTCACCCTAGGACACCCAGATATTTCTTGGCACACTGGTGAGCTGTTGAGTAGCAGCAGACTGGGATTTGGGATGGAGCACAGGAATGTTTCCATTACTTGTATATTCCTTGGAATCCTTGAAGGCTGCTGTATGTTACATTGGGTTGCTGGCAGGAGTCAGGTGATAGTAAAGATTCGAGGTCGGCAGGAACAGATCTGTGGCTGACTGATACACTTTAATGGGGAACTTAGAAATAACCTTTGATGATAAATAAGACAGCAATAAATGTGATAATTCACTCTGACTTCCTCCATAAAACAGTCCACATGACTTCTGCTGACTTGCATTCATTTTTTTTTTAATTAGTTCATGTTATGATCTCATATTTGCCCTTACTCTTCTCTGACAAATGAAAAGGAGCCATTTGGATCTTGTGATCCACATTTTTCAGTCCTTAAGTCATTCTCGCGGCTCCTCTCTGAAGCCTCTCCAAAGGTTCAATCTGTTGAACTGTTTTACACAACCAGCATTAAACCCAGCAGGTGATAAGGCCTGTTCCTGTTTGATAACCCCCTGTTCTTGTGTGTAAGTATTGCATCACCCCTACACCAGAGCACCAACCCTGCATCCTGATGGCACATCACAGCCCTGATGCTCTCTCCAGGTGCACTGAACTTGTGGAGAGTCATTTGCTCTGTGGCATTCTTGGGATTTCCTCTTTACAAGATTGCATTTGCTGTGTTAACACCTTTTCATTGTTCTAGTCAGTATAGATGAGCTTCTTTTGCTTTGATATTCCTCTTTTTTTTTCTTTTTCTTACCATGTACTTCTCCATTACTGATGTGCCAACAACAAATTTCATAGCCCCTTCTAGGGCTTGCTCAGAAAAGTAGGGCTGAAAATGAAACACAGTCACGCCTCTCACACAGAATATTTTTAAAACAGTTAACTCCTTTTCAGTCCACCTTCTCAGATGTTTGCTGGGTTGATTTGTTATTATTCTGGTTTTCACCATGCCAGGTGAAAATGAGGCAAGAGCCTTCTCACAGAATCACGTCTGTGATACCACTTTCGTAAGCTCCTGTGAACTCAGCAGAAAATACCAGTTTAACAAGACATGTTTTCCAGAGAAAGGATGCTCATTTGCCAGTAATAATACTGCCTGCTTCAACTGTTGATTAATTGAGCTTTTGTATCTTTTTGTACTTTTGTCTGGGATTGGTGGGAGGATGTAACTATCAAGGCCATCTCGTTCTCTTTGATCTGGTACCCAGCACCAGCTGTCTGTGTGTCCTCCAGAACCTCCCAACAACTGCTGAAAATCGTGGGTAACCATATGGGCAGCTCCTTCATTGGGTCTTCTAATGGTGCTACTCAGTGCAAGGCATCTATTCTGCTGGTTTAGAAAATGCTGAATTCAGAGGCTCCTGCTCAACACCATTTTGAGAGCTTTTTTTGGAATGAAAATGGTTGAGCATCTGTTATGATTCCATTAGCTATAGGCTCCTGTTCTATCCCACGTCATGCTTAGCAAAATCCTGTTATTGACAGCTTCAAGATTTCTAGGATGCTTTCAAGATTATAATTTCTAGATATTTGCATTCCGTAATGCATGAAAGGAAGACATATGTTATATAGTAAAAAACAAATAAAACCCCAGCTTTCGGTGAACAGAAGATTGTAGTCTTTTTGACCAAAATGCATTGAAATGCAGTAATAAAACTCTTTAATATGCTTTCTTTTCCAGATTAAAAAAACAAAACAAACAAACAAAAAAAAAAAAAACCACCAAAAAAAGCAGCAAAATGTTGATGTGTTTAAAAAGCAAAAGTAATGGGTAAGTACAGGAGTGTGGCTTTGTTTAATGACTGCAGAGCAAGTTGTTAGCACACATATTTTTCATAGGCAAACAATGAATTATTGCTGAACGGATTTCCCCAAGCTTTCTTTATAGTAAACGTTGCACGGACAATGACTGTGTGCACTGAGTTCATTCATAATGTCTCCAACACCTGTTTCCTCCTGTTTTGCCAGCAGTTTCATTTGGAAAGCATTGGGAACTGGAATGATGTCTCATTAGAGCACGAGGTTTGCTGGGGACGCATATTTCTGTGTCATTGAAGGCTTGCTGGTGAATAACAAGTGTATTGTTCAGCACTTTAATAGGGAAGTTTAGATGCCCATTAGGGCTGTAAATTATGTCCTTTCCTGAAGGTTCAACTTAATATTGACCCCATGTCATCATGTGTGTGTTGCTGAAGATCATAATAAAGGCTTAGAGAGCTTGGATGCTTTATGGTTTTAAAGGATTCAAATACAAGCAAATATCTGGTCCCTGTTCTCTTTTGAAACTGGGCATTGTATGGGAAAGGCATCTCCTGGATCCGTCAGCAAAGCCGGGGCGCTGCAAGTGGGGAGGAACTCCTGCCGTGATTCTGCCAGGGGGCAAGAGGTCATGCATGGATTTTACCAGCTTCAGTTCTAACCTTATCTCTTTCACTGTGTTGTGGGATCCTAGAAGGGAGATAGGAGGATGAAAAGCAGCTCCAAAGTCTTACTTTTTAATGGAAGAAATAAATTCCGGTTACACGTGGCAATGCTGTCAGTGAGGGATCTTCATCCCAAATCAAGGCGGGCTTGGGAAAATCCATTAAATAAAAGTATCTAAAAGCAGCACAGATTTTAGTTAAGGATATTAATTAGCTTAAAAAGTGATTGGGAAGCACAGAGCTTATGCTTTAACCTCAGGAGCTTTGATTTATTAGTATTTCTGGCTGATTACATGTGGGTGTCTCTGTCCACATTCAGTGTGCTCAGCTGGCTTAAAGAAGGATAAAATGAGAAAATACTCAAGCATGAGCCACACTTCAGTTGATGTAAAACCAGACAGCAAACTGTATTCAGAGAAACAATACTGGCTGGCTGGAGAGTCCTTCTATTCATATCTGGTCTTTTAATCTGCTTTTTTTAGCTGGGGCAGTTTGGCTCTACTCTGTTCCCTGGGTCCCAGAAATGGAGTTTTTCCCAGTGATGGTAGACAAAAATCTGCCATTTTCTGAGGCCTCTCAGAAAACTTTTTCTTACAGTTCCCGATTTTGGCACCAGGTTGAGTGTTGAATGAAAGTATTTGGCCGTTCAAACTGGCAGAGCAGATCATCAACAACCTTTTAAGAGGCTTAGGAAGTGTCTGAGGCAACGCTGACTTGTGCTGTGGGTTGTCTTGGCCCTTTGTACTGACCGTAATCCTACAAGTGTAAAGCTCCACTTGTCTCAGTTCCCTTGGTTTTTTGCCTGAAGCTGGTGTGTTTTTTTGGAAGCAGAACACCATCATGTCATGATATTGAGGCAGATGGCAGCAGGTTGATGGGAAGCCCTGGCCACGCTCCCCCTGGGCCAGCAGCAGGGAAGGGACAAAGTGAAGCTCAGCGAGGAGCGCACGCCGCAGGCACTGGCAGCTCCTCCAAGGTGCTCTGAGATGCTCTTAGAAAATCCTCCTGGCATCACACCCAGGCTTCTCCCTCCCAGTGTGCATTCATTCCCTCATTCATGAGTCTGTCAGCAGGTTTTTGTCTCAGCCTGTGACCCTCCTGAAAACCATGCATCTTATGTTCAAGCCCTGGAATGGGCTGTGACCTTCCCCTCTTCTGAGTGTTGTAGGAATGACCTTTCAGCAGGGTACTTGCTTACGTAGAGGGCTGGCTGGGAAGATTTGGCTGTGCAAGGGCTTTGGTCCACGTTGGCCTGAAGGGAAAGAACAAGAGTTCTTTATTCTCAGAAGAGGATTCAGATTTTACTTCTATGGTTCAAAGGTAACCTGTATGCATAAAGTGCTTTGAGTGCTTTCAACATGCAGCCTTTTCTCTGTACATGGCTATTCAAGCCACCAGACTTGGTAGGGCAATTATTTTTACAGGCCAGGAATATATGATTGTTTATTTGAATAACTATTCCTTCTTCGTTATAACTTAAAATAATAAACTAGAACAAGAGAGCACTTAGAGACTGAAAAAAATTAAATCTTTAAGTTGTGGAAGAATAACTGTTAAGGAAAATACTTCAGTAAGAAGGCATGTGTGTTTTTTCTTATGAAAAAGGATATTTACAGAATTTCAAATGCCAATTTACTGATTTATTGTATTTCTTTAGCAACACACTGAGTGGATACATGAAGCAGCTTTGCTAGTGAAATCATACAAAAGGGGAATTTTCAGATAAGAAAGTGATCATTTTGAATATAATTTGGTCCCTTTATATTTTTACTGGATTATTAAATGATTTAACAACTAGAAAATTACATTGAAATGCTCGTGGACTCTGGATCCATTAGCTATGGGTTATACCCACGATCATTTTTTGTCCCCCATCCTGCAGCCAGCAAAGTTCTTATGTGAATCAAAACTTGTTGTTGGAGAGAGGGTGCAAAAAGGGTGACCTGGGGAATTCCTTCAGAGGTGTTTTAATTTCTCATATTTCCCTGGCCTTTATCAGGTGTAGCACCTTCTGCAGAGCAGAAGGGTGAGGAGTGTGGTTCCCACTGATTTCATGGTGATTTCACAGGAGCTTGGGCAAGAGCAGGCATGAATCCTCCCACAGCTGAGTATTTTGTCTGGGCTGCTTGCTGGGCAAGGTGCTCCAGGGGAACAGGGGAGCTGTTTCAGAGGGGTGCAGGAGAGCACCTGTGGAATAGCCTGGCATTTACACAGATCTTTAACAGCTGTATCTCAAATACGGTGTTGTGAAAAACGCCAGTCACTTGGTTTTTAAAATTTTAAAAGTTTAATAATAATAAAATGGCTATAAAAATAGCAATACAATTAGAGTAATAA